GAATAGAACCAAGAAACATCTAGCTAAAATACCAAAATAATGGTACATTATTATTCAACAAGAACTGCTGGCTGATATACACGTAAAATTTTTCAGCTTGAAAAGGTCAAAGAAGAGGCTGAGAAAAATTTGCAGTTTATGCTTGAAGAGCACAACAAGGAACTAGTAAAGCTAAAATCCCGATTCAAAGAAGAGGTTGAGAAAAAAGAAAAAATTATCAGATTTACACGGGTAACTTCTTTGACTTTTTTGCTAATTTTAATAGTGCAATTCTCTGCTTAAACAGATAACTAAGAAAACTTAGAAGTTATGTGTTTTATTTAGATAGTAGAAGGTAAATAACAAATTTTTAAAATCTATTTTGCATTTAGAATTAATAATTGAGTGTGCATTTTTTTGTGAGGTTAGAAAGGAAGTCTTTTGCTTTTAATTAAAGTACTCTCGACAAACTGTAATTTATTTTAACCTCCAAACCTTTGACTCAAAAATCTCGTAACATAATTTATGCGCAATTTTTTCACTTAAAAATACTTTTAATTGTTTCAAAGTCTGTAAAGATTAGGAAAGGTGGAAAAAAGCAGGGCCGTTCACAATATGTTTGCCAAGACTTTGACAGAAAAACTCAACTCAGGATCTATGTTTAGAGAGCAGATAGAAAAGGATAGAGCAAAGTGAATTAGAACAGGATTATTAACTATTAAATGGTAGAACAAAGCGTTGAAATAGACTGTTTTGCTTTCATCATCAGTAGCTTATTAAAAAAAGTGTTAAAAAGTCAGACAAGCGAACAAATTACTGCCATGGAAAAGTTTATCTGTATCAACACGTTGACAGTACAGCATATCTTTCCTCGCGCATATTAATAAAAGTTATTTCGAGAGCAAGCAATAATTTTTGGTGAAAAAAAGACAGGCGTTTTGTGAAAATACGTGATTGGTTCACAAACTAGTTATAAATTTGTCGATTTTTTATTCGCTTTTTTCTAACGTTGTTTTAACAAGAACCTAAGAAGTTTTCAATAGTTTTCAACATTTTGGACCTTTTAAGCTGCTTATTTATAAATTTCAACAAAAAATCTAGACCAAAAGAAACTGACTTTAACAGTAGTTTTATTAGCTATGAATTCTTGATATTTAAACAGAAACTCAAAGGTTTAATTTCTGACAGTGCAGTGTACGAAGTGTGCACAAGGTAGGATCAGGAATGGAGTTATTTTAGGAAAAATTAATGCCACTCTGTGCCATTGAATGTGAGACTTGACATAACACTTCGAAAGTGTACTGTGTTGCGTTAAAAACAGTTTATAATTTTAATGTAAACAAATTTTCTCAGCTTGAGGTTACAAAATTAAACGAGGAAGTAGATAAACACGAAAGAGTGGCCAAACAAACCAAAAACGATATTATAAAACTGGAGGCAGAAAACCGAATTTTGACTGATGAAAACAAATCGTTGCGCCGGAACATCCAGCTGGTGAATGTAGAGTTAGGAAGCCGTTATGTTAGTTCTTTTTTTTTTCACAAATATGTTATTAATTTAGAATTAGCTATGTTATTATGTTACATATTATTTTTAAAAAGTCCTGACCATTCCAATTACAGTAATCCATTTGCAACAATAATGAAAACATTATTTCACTTAATTTGGCGATATTGGTGTGTTTTACAAGCAGAGAAAGAAATTTAAATCATAATTATTTTATCCTGCATTTTAGTTTCTTAACAATTTTCAGATCTAAGTTGTATTTACAGAAGGAAGCTGCATACATCGAAAGTTTAACAAGAAAGTGCGCAGAAAGTGAAAAAGCCAAAAAGGTGATAATAGAGAATTTTCGGCACCTTGAAAAAGAACGCGATAATCTCGCTGCACTTGTGAAAGCCAATATCAATCTGGTAAATTCTGTCATGCCTATATTTCTTTACTTGTTTTTGAATTAGAATGTCAATATTATTCACAGGGAAAACTATACTAGGTGAATCAGCAAACAGTGACTTTAATCAGTTCTGGCACAGGCATGCTTAAAACGTCCTTAATTTTTCCAAATCTCACGTTTGCTCCAACCACGTCATAATTTTGAAACTAAAACGTACTTTTTCAGGTACGTAAATCAAATGAAGAAAAGTCAAAAAAACTTATCAAAAAAATCGCTATGTTTGAGCACCAACTTGACAAATATGAACTACCATAGAAGCACAAATCTCAAAAGTCATTTGAAAATTACAAAAAATCAAAAATTATAAAAGTTTGCTTCCCGTTTATAGATCTCTAAAGGACTACGATAGTAGTATACTTGGCTGCTAGTGAAATTGCAAAATGGGTAGGTCTTCTTACGATCTTCTACCAAATCCTGTATTTTCTGCACCTTAATATCGACTTGTCCATTGATTATTTGGTGAACTCTTTGTGATATAAATATTCTAATCTTTGTGATATATTTTAATTCCCTTCTTTCATTCGACTTTGAGAGATCTTTAAATCCTTTATTTCTGGTAAACTAGAGAATAAAAGTTATTTTAATAGAGACAAATACTGATAAAAATTCAAGACACGGTTTAGTAACAACAAATGGGGTGACACAAACAAACTCAGTTTAGAAACCAACACCTCTTGATTTTCATAATCTGTTTTTGTTTTCAAGTGTGATTGAAAAAAAATTTTTTTTATTAAGTACAATAAAGTCTTTTTCCATTAAATTTGTAAGAGGAATAAGGAAGGTATTGTAAAGGTCAGAGGAAGAAAGGCGAAGAAGAGGCGAATGTTGAGCTGCAATAAAACTTTATTTCACATTTGTCACTTTCAGTAGTAGCCTTTCGCAACTCTGCTGGTGCAGGAAGAAACCACTGAATAGCCGCTAAAAATCAACAAATAGGTGATCCAACAATCAAACGTAATGACAATATGTTGAGCAGTTCGTGTAACTGCAGAGCATTTTATACAACCGGAAAGTGGCACTGGAGCTGAGAGAACATTAAATTGAGATAAAGACTATATTACATCGTTGCAACTGATTTTCCTGTGTGTTTCAATTTTGTCAGTATAAGAAGAGTCTTTTACATAGTCTGCTGAATCTTTTCAATAAAGTTTACTCCAAGGTAAATTGTAAAAGTTTAGGTAACCAAAGTGAAAGCATGAGAACCTGTAGAAAACTTTTTACTTGGGCAATTAAATTAAACCTTTATAATAGGAAAACATAACATTCACATTAAAACCTGCTAATTTATAAGCGCATAGTAAAATGTATAACAAAAATAAAAAACAATAATAAGCTGCACTGAAATCAAAGGATATCAAATAATTGGAGCCACAAAAAAAGGAAGATTAGCCGGTCAGTTAGCACAAAAACTGCATAGCTATAAAATGGCTTTTTTCTCTCTGTTGATCTGTTTCAACCGATCCTCTGTTAACATGCGGATTTTGCCCGCATCGTGGTTGTCTCTGTGGCGCCGGTCGCCAATGATCTGCTTCCGGGTTTGCATTTAATTTTCTTGTCAGCTAAAGCTTTCGCCTTAATCGCAATACTCTCTGCTTAGCCTGTCGTGGTAAGCTACGCTGATGAGTTCTACTGATCAGCTAATTTTTAAAATAAATTTCAAGTCTAATTAGAGAGAAAAATTAATCTGAAAAGAAAAGAAATGTTAATATTTGTGTTAGTGTCCGTTCCAATGTCGGATCCGTTCGTTCACACCTGAATCTGTTGACTGTTCAGGCAATGATCCTATGTTGTGGCTAAAAAAACTTGAAAAGCACTTGATTTTTTGTTTAATCCGTTTTCTTCTGCAGGCACTGCGGGTGCTGACGTTGTTCTTCTTAGTAAAGAGTCGCTTTCTAGCGTCGATGGTCGGGCGTCTGGATGTGGTGGACCTCCACCAGAAGTTCTTCCTCGCCGAGTTTGATAATCTCTTCTGCGCGATCCATGAGTGGACGGGACTTGTTTGGCTTTTTGTTGAATAAAGTAAAGTTTTCTCATATCGTTCCCGGTACGTAACACACTATTTTCGTGAAGACCATGCAAGATCTTTTTATAGAAAAGCTTATCGACCACTGGTTTTACTGCTCTGCACGATTTCAATCAGGCTTTTCTCAAAAAGAAATACTCATTTTAAGAATACTCATATTGATGATAAGGCAAAAATTTCTTTCACACTAAATTTGATGGAACGGCGAAAAGTTCTTCCAATTACTGCAGCGTTCCAGTTTGAGAAAAAAAAAGACAAAGAGTTATTTATAATCATAATCTAAATTCGCTAATGTACTTTATTGCTGAAAGTAAGTTAACTGTTGATGCGAAAAATGTTGAATACTTATTAATAGTTTTTTATTAGAAGTAATCAATTTTGTTGTAGGAGAATTTTGAAAAAAAGCGAACTTGCTATAATTGCTCGAAACAAATCTTGGCTCACGACTGGCTGATTGGTAAAGTCATATTTGAAGCTATAACAGTCAAAATTTTTGCTACTAGGAGCTTTATAACTGCTATAGCTGTTTACAGACCATCTTCATCTACTCAACTAATCGTGTTGTTGCTGAAACGTTTTAATTTTTCTTTGATCTCATAGGAGTGTCGTGTCTTAAATAAAGTTAGTGTCTGCTAAGAGAACGTTTTTCACTTGCTACTTTCTTAGGCTTTTTTTACCTGTTAAAATTTAACGAAATGAGTTGAATTAGTAATTCAATCGTAAGACGGTACTTTTTCGATAGTGGTGGTTGCGACACATTGTTTACTATAGTAAAGAAATCTGCCTTGATCTTAAAAAGAATAGTGTTTGTTATATAATAAGTTTGGTTCTGCCTTTGAAAATGCTTTTAAAAAAAAACTATCGGACTGAGAATGCAGGTCAGAAGAAATATTAAATTATATCAAGCGTGCCAATATTAACAGAGTAATACGAAGTATCAACTGCATCAGCAAATCAACTAAAACTATTCTAGCATACAAAATAAAAAAATTAATTTCAAAAATTTTATCACTAAGCGATGCTTTTGTTTATCTAGTGATTTATTCTTAATTATAATCTTAAATCCTGAAAGAGGTTACTTTTCTTTTAGATTGTACAAAAAAAAATAAGTTGCATCTACATTATTACCCAATTTGTTGTTTTATAAGCAACTTTTTAAATTCAAAATCTCAGTTTTTTATTAGGTTGCTAGGCTCGGATAATCTGTTCAGACTTAGTCTTGATCTGTAACTTAACTTTGAAGTTGGGTTAGAAAATGTTAAACTAACAATAAGTTTAGATTAATATAATTAAGAAAAATTTGACTGGATCGTGTATCTATCAGGGGTCAAAGATGATGAATTATGCGTAATCTTTATGAAATTTGTAATTGCCGTTAAATTGCAGCTTTCAAGATAAAATGTTCTTGTACGCAGTTGGAAATGATGTTCAGTAATTGAAGAACTAAGTAGCGATGCGGTATTTTTCTTTAAAACACGGTGAGGAGCAAAAAAAATTTGGCAAAACTTTTTTGTCTATTTGAGACGTCTAGTATCTGATTGAAAAAATTTTTTGTTTAATTTGGTACTTTTCGACATTCCATATTTTTATTGGCTAAACAAAAATTCAAAGTGGAATTTTTAAGCATTGAAAAAATGATATCATATGTAGTTGAAGAAACAAGAGTTAAACGTTAACAAATATGATAAACTGCAAAAAAATTCTTAGCTGCATGTTTCAATCAGTTATACAAATTTTTATGATTTGATTATGCTAGTATTCTAGATCTTTCAATAGCCGAAACCATCTTTGAAACTACCAAAGTGTTAACTAGCTGACCAGTCTAAAATGCTGAGAATTTAAAAAAAAATAAATAAAAGAAATTGAAGGTTTTTTCTGTTAATTAGTTTCCAATACTGACAGCAGTTTTTTTGCAATATTCTGCACACGTTGTAAACGTCATTTAAGAATAAGAAAAGAAGCTTGAACCCACTTTAAGTCACTTTATCTAAATAAGGTTTTTCTGTTCAAATGCCGCAATAAAGTTTTGATTGGTCGCGTACTTTTGCGCAAGAAATATAGTATTGAAGCTAAACTTGACAATGATTTTTTCAAAAAAATTTTGGTAAGTGTTTGTGAGTCTTATTTTAATTGCTTTAATATGCATCAAATATCTGGCAGTTTGGTGCTCTGCAAATGGTTGATTTAAATACCTTTGAAGGAATTATTGGTGTGATGAACGTCACAGTGATGCGTCAGATGCAGTTAGCACATCTACCATTGAAATTATTGGAAGACGCTGCTTGTTTGCGAGTTTTTGTGAATTTTTTTGTGTTTTCTTGGAGACTTCAAACTAAAGAAATTTTTTTTTAGCACGAAGCAAACTTTATCTTTCAACCATTTATAATAATATAAATACAATTTACATTGATATTGATGGAGCATCAAATAAAAAGCAATTTCGTACTTGCTTTTCAAACTTTTTTGAGGGATAATTTTATTCATTTGTCAGAAGAAAACAGAGTTTGATACTCCAATTACAGTATAACGGTCAATTTCCGAACACTTCTTTTGAAAACTACACAGAGGAGCAGAAGCCAACTGCTGCTTCTGAGCTGTGAATTACCGATAAGAATAAGCCATCCGTTTAGGTGTGAACACTTTCACAAGCAGTTGCACGATGCCTGAACAAATAATATTGATAAGATAAATAAAGTTCAGTATGTTTTCCAAAAAGCATTATTTAATTCCAACTTTGTTTGTTCATCAGAAATGAGAGTATTTAGCGTAATAAACTAAGTTAACTGCTTTTATGACTACCTTAAAGTTTCAATTACACTAAGTTATCCTAATTGCAATGAACACTTTGCAAATATATTCATTTTTAGCAGTTGAAAATTGTATTAGAAGCTCATTTCTGAAAATTTTGTTTTACAGAAAACTGATTACTTGGTAAAGTTGGCGTTGTGATCACTGCTGTAAAGTTCTTTAAACGTTCTTTTTAGTTTTTTTACCAGATGCAGTTGCCTCACTACAATAAGCAGTAAAGCGCCCACCTAAGTTATTGAAAATTTCATACTATTTTTCGTTGTGTCATAAATTATTTCTATTTTTTCTGCAGCGACTTTTCGCATTTTACAGTTTGATCACATTAACGGTGAAAGATTTCTTCAGAATTTTACGAACTGCGAACTAGCATATCACACTGCAAAAAAAGCTAAAAGACGATTTACCAATAGCCCATTGATTTTAT